ATTTGTGGATTATGGAGCTCAATCCAGTGATTAGGACCCGAATCAATTAAATGTTCCGCGATGGCTGATTTTTGCGTATCATTATTTCTGACAATGAAATAATATATAAATGAAATATTGGAGACCCCTAAAAAACAAGATACATGGTAACAATCCTGTTAATAGCTATAATGTTAGTGACCATGAAAGTTTAAATTAATATAATGATATTTATTTGTTGTATCGCAAGCGTCAGATATGCTATGGTGACCGCTTGCCATCAGGTGGGCAGTACACTTGTTGACGTCCCTATAAATAAAACAAAAAAGACAATTTTTAGAAATAAAATTTCAGACACAATTTAGCAATGCCCAATTTTAATATGTCCAGTCTTAACATCCCGATGTCCCGTAAGTGTTAGTGACACGCGGCGCGAAAGTGATTGCGAAGCCCTATAATACGAGGGGCATAATGTCGAGCAAATCAAGACATGCCACTTCATTGATATAACTCAAACATTCAATTGGACAATTGTTCCTTGTGCCCGCTGTCTCGACATTAGACAGAGAATTAACACGACCTTTAGGAAGAAGTTACTCAAGGGCTAAATATGAATTTATACTAAATTGTAGATCAATTTTGATATGCAGTGCACAGTCAAATGTTATAAAAATCTATCTATTTATGGCAATAATGAGTCTGTCTTATGATGTTTAGTGAGGAACAATGCAGTGAGGAAGCTCAATGGCGGAGGTGGTCAGCGCGTTCGGTCTGCGACCGTGGCAGTTAAGCAACTTTCGCAATGTTCGGTCATTAGATGGGTGACCAAAAACTTAAATCTCGAGCTCCTCCTGCTTCGGAAGGCATGTTAAGCCGTTGTTCCCGGCCGCTTCTGCAGTCATTAGCACAATCCAATCCGCACTGGGCCCGCGTAATAATGGTCATGGTCCAATCTCCCTATTCCATCCATAGGGAAAGCTGTCTCCAGCGGTGGGATCATTAATAGGCTCATGATAATGACCCAAACGATCATTGGGAACCTAATAGCTGCCCAGAAAATCCAGAAACCATTATAAAGCTCCCAGGAAAATCGCAAAAGTATTACAATTTAAGTTTTAATAGCTTAGCAACTTTTATATAAATTTCGTCCCTTTATATTATAGTACAAAGCACTATTTATCACTTTCTCCACTCGGCGAACAATGTACAATTTCCTTTTCTCCCAGTTCCAGCACGGGCATCACAAAAATAAGGATTTACGTTCAGTTTAAAAATTATCTCGTGATAGTCAATTGTTTAATAAAATCGCCCTTTACACCAAAGGACGTGGCTCCGCACCACCCGACCGTAACAGACGTTTTATTTACGTTTCATATTAACGTTTTCATTAAGATTGATTGCGATGATCTTAATCCTTAAAAGAGATCCTATTACTCCCACGTCCGGGTCTCTGTGTCTCGGATTTTTCACAATTAAGCCATGATGTTTATTGTTTGCGGAGTTGGATGGTACAGTGTTCGGTGTGCGATCATTTCTTTCTCGAACAAAGGACATGGTAAAGTTTTGTATGAGCGACTGCCTTAGCAATGTATAAATACTGTACTTAGTAATATTGAATGGTAAAAGGCTGAATATTTATAATATCTATGAAAAAAGGCTCATGAACTTTTGATGAAGTCACAATCTTGAAATTATGAGAACTCCTACTCTGTCATTACCTTACTACAGTTGATAAAAGATGTTGCCAATTTATTTACAGAGTCATCAATTTCGCATTTTCTTAGATCTATTTTCCCATTTCTCTGATTAACTCTTCACAAAAAGTTTTTAAAGCAAAAATAAATACAAATAATTTGTTATTGTCGGCCTGACACGAAATCTGTGAAGTTTTATATTGTCCATTTGCAAAAATTAGAGGATAAATTATCATACAGCCTTGTCTCAAGCCTAATCAGAATAATAAAATCTATTATTTTAGGCCTTCAGTGATTTTTTATAATTAAAATTAACTCCAAATATGTTATAGTTTGAAGGAGTTTAGAAATAATATTGTTTATTTCGATATACTTACACAAATAATTTTTGTGTACATTTATTGTTCAATTATTTTGTAAAACGGAACATTTTGCTTTTGAAACAGACATGAAGTAAATTTTGAAACTTTTAAATATTTGATTATTTCACGAAAGTTGGTTGAGAATATTAAAAACGTATTATTTAAAAAAAGAAAGTTACCGGCTAGTGCGAAATATTTATACACTTTAAGGGCAGTTTCTTAGCCATGTCCTTTATTCGAAAATCTGTGCTTCAGAAGACTAGTATAGGCTATTAGTTCCAGCTATATCTGCAATTGTAAGCACACAGTTATCTGGGGTTGCGTGTTTGACTATGGCTGGTTCGCCTTTAATAATAAAAATTCATAGGGTAAAACGCTTTTTTATCAATAGGGATATTAAGAATAGGATTTTAATCTGCTGTCCCCAAACTATATATATATAGTGCGACTAAGTGACATGTGGGCGGATTTTTCAGTCTTAAACTGCATCTTATACAGTTTTTAATTCTCAATCGATCTGTCTTTAACAAGTTTGCGTATCTTTTATAGTTTAAGTCTAAAAATCCGTCAAGTGATGAATAGTTACAAAATAGTTAATACTGAGATTACAAAATAGCAATAATTTAAAATTTACTCCCCGTTTTTTGACCATATCCCAAAAGTTACTTTTGTTATTTAGCCGCGTAGCTTATACCTTAAGGAGATTGGTAAGTATGACAACCTTTTGGTTACCACCAAACCTACCTACCTTCGTGTTTTAAATAAACGGTGGTACAGTATCAGCGCCTAACTCCATAAGAAATCACAATACAGTATTTGACAGTATTAAAAATAAAGTGCCAAATGGTAACATTTCTGTGTTTAGAATGAATGTTGGCAGGGGTTTTTACTATTTTTACAAAAAAAATATTCATAATTTTACTGAAAACTGAAAAAGATAATAGTTTTCTTATCTATTGTCACGTGACCCAAAACGCTCGGGATTGGCGGAGCCTAAAATGACGTCACATGCAAGTAAACTTCCGGTTGTGTGTGACATTACATTGTATCGTTTGACGTTTTAATAACAGTCGTGTGACGACGCACACTAGTAAGACGCCATATTGTCCAGAGAAACGTTTTCGCGGCAATTTGAAAATGGAGTTTTTGATTTGGTTATTTTTACTGAAATACACAACAGAATGATGAATATCCATATAAACATTAGTTAATAATGTGAGATCGTTTTCTGAAACTTGTCAAATACCCTATTATGGCTATTAGAAACAAAAAATAAACAAAGTTTCAACTAAAAGTAGCACTTCCCAAAGCTTAAGGACAATAAAATTAATAATTTATTTCCAATTTGTGTTACAATTGACATACTTAAGAATATAGGTAGTGTATAGAAACATCGGTAAAACGATTCCCTGACCCCTATACTAGGAAAAAACCTGTATCATAGGGGACAAAACAATATAAGAGTAATTTTCAATTTATATAACGTCTAATAATAAGTTATATCTTCAATTTGTTAGTGCACATCTACAAAGTTATTGAGAGCTAAATCAAAGGCAAGCGCCAGCTGCCAATGAGTCACCCTTGATTGTTGCGTGAATGAGGAAGTGGCCCATTCACGTATGGAACTACCAAATTGATAGTTTTAATAGCTATCCAGATACTATGATTGCTGTGTGACACAGCAATCAAAATGCAGGTGTACAATTAATGTATAATTTCACATTATGTAATGAAGGGTGACTTCATGAATCATCTCTGAAGTCATTTTTCAACTTGACGACTCTGTAAATGATAAAACAGGGAGAAAAAAACAGCCCTTGCTGAGTTTCTTGCCGGTTCTTCTCAGTACAAGGTCTCCCGCCGTAGATTTACGAACCGATGGCGTAGCTTCTCGACATTCATATGTGCTTGTAACAGCCTAAACTGAATAAATGATTTTGATTGATTGATTGATTGATTGACTATAAAAAATGTTTGTAAATATTTTCTTTCTTATATTAGACTAGTTGTGCCCCGCGGTGCTACCCGCGTTTTATAAGGGATCTTTTCCCGCAGTAAAAAGTAGCCTATATGTTAATCCAGGGTGTCAGTTAACTCCATACCAAATTTTATTAAAATCGCTCCAGCCGTATAGACGTGAAGAAGTAACAAACATACACACTCACAAACTTTCGACTTTATAATATTATTATTGTGATGTGATTGTGATTGTGATTGTGATTGTGATACTGACCCTGAACATCCGCTCCCTTAATTAAGAGTGAGAGTAGGAGATGGGGGAACTGTCTTCTTAAAGCATAGAGCCATACGGAATGGACTAGCCATAGCAGGATAATACTATTCCATTATTTGAAAATGTACCCTTAAAATTTTACAGATTTTTATCCAGAGGTATTATTGCTTCAAAAAAATTAAATGCAGCTAATTTGAAAGTTGTCTCGAAATTTCCAATTTTATCTAAAATAATATCTAATACATTAATAACTCTTTTAAGCAAATAAATAAATATAATTTCTTTGTTTTCTCTCATGTCTCATGTGCAGATTTGCATTCTCCAATAATTAACTTAATATTTTGGCTGTTTTCACAGTTTTAAACGAATAATCCGATATATGACTACCTCCGTGGCCGAGTGGTTTGTACGCCGGGTTTCATGGTGTCGCCGTCTCGAGAGGTCCCGGGTTCGAATCCCGGTGGGGGCAGATGTTTGTATGATAATTACGAGCATTTGTACTCCAGTCATGGATGTTTAAATATGTATTTCTATATGAATATACTTATATATGTATAGTATATGTATTCTATCCGTTACCCTAGCATCACATAACACAAGCCTTACTGTGCTTACTTTGGAGCTAGGCTAATTGGTGTGAGTGTTGGAAATATTTATTTATTTATATAGAAGTGGGTTATAATTTTTGCATCGTCAAATTGATTGTTTATTGACTGTATACATTATTTCCAGGTGTGTCAGCGAGCGAAGCGTTAAGGAATGGCCTGTGCCAATCTCTGTGGGGAGCTCCAGCCAACCGGCCCGAGCCAAGGCTGGCATCCCCTCCTCCCAGCCAATGCCAAGACTCATACCATAGAGGTAAAATATTAACATCTCTTATCTATTAGACAAGTCCGTCCGTCCGTCTGTCTGTGGTGCTGTTTCAGCGGCCAAACCGTAAGAGATAGATAAAGAGAATATTTAAGTTATAAGTTAAGAATAGTCTGATAAGACTACAAACCGGATTTGAGTAACGTAGCACTTCCGGTTTTCGAGAAATCACGAATTTCAAACGAAACCACACAAAATCTCCTAAGTTCTCAATTAATTAAATACATTTTTTTTTTGGTGAACATTTGGTTCACTGGTTTGCTAGTTCCCTATAATAGGGATTGATGACTAACTTTCTTGAAGTGAAAGGTTTCTTCGGACAGGTTGTAAATGGAAAAATCCTATGGAAAATATGAAACGGAAATGCGTCACGAGCGTCACACGACTATATATGTATTTATATGAGTGATGCGTGCGCTGATTCATTCCCCTATGCCTTCATCGTCTCCACTGCTGGGGCACAGGCCTTCCCTATGGATGGAATAGGGAGATTGGGCCATGACCCACCGCGCGGGCCCAGTGCGGATTGGTGGGTGCTAACTCGAGGAGCTTGAGATAGTAAATTTTTGGTCACCCATCCAATGACCGACCACTGAGAAAGTTGCTTCACTTCAACGATCGCAGCCGAACGCGCTAACCACTTGCGCCATCGAGCTCCTCCTATGCCTTATGCACTATCTAATGTTAGATTATTTAAGAAAAGAAGTTTCACTGCAGATGTTTAGGCCGTACACACTATTTTTTTTCTTCGTGTAATCGGATAGATTGTCGAAATGACATTATAGACATACAGAGATTTCAAATCTATGTCGCATGAATTTTGACGGAGTAAAGTGAACGAAATTCTATTTAGTCCGTGTAGTAATTTTCATTCTTTTAAAGTATGGGGAGTTGTAATTTGTGACGTCACTTCTAAGTAAAAATTGTACCAAGACGTGAAGTCTTGCCACATTTCAAATTAATATACATATTATTATCTCTGTAATGTTTTGATCATCTGAAAAAAGAAAAAAGTACGTGTCCAATATTTTTATAATCTACCTGATAGACGAAGAAAAACAGAGAGTCTTCATCCATATTGCAAAGAAAATGATAGTATCAACGTTAATCAAACTTAAAAACAATGAGGATCCGTAACGATTTTAGTTGAGAATACAGATTTATAGACCTAAGGATTCCATAAAATACGGTGTTTAAATTTTTGTTCTACGACAAATATAGATGAAGTAATGACCAAATTACTAAACGAATTTTCGGCTGGCCGAGTGGTGACTATGACGTCACAGATCTCTATGGCTCAGGCTCGAACGTGCGTAGAGACGCTACTAAATTGCGACCGAAGTGAACCACGGTCGAGCTCTGTGACGTCACACATTTCGGCCGCCGGTGAATATTGGCTACCATAAAATTAGTTATAAAATCGAAACGAATGATCCGATTTCGATGATTTAAAAAGTATATTAATTAAAAATGTTAGTAGATCATTATACTGTTGATTTTGAGTTGATTTGCTGACCTAGTAATGATCCTCATTGACGACTGAATTGATTGTGCTTAAGTAGTAAAATGCAAATGCTACTGTAATAGACATCGCATTATGCAGCGAAAATACAATCAGTAATTCCAAACATCAGAATATTCAACAGACGCCCAGCAGCTCATATTCAATATGAAAACACATAATAAATATGTTATTACAAACGAAAATTCCAATAACACATCGCACCTAAATCCCATGGCTTCAGATTTGGGCCTGACATATCTTATCGTGCGTTGGTGTCGAGTTATCACCAGCAAAATTACATTTGTTTTATGGCTTTGATTTGCCGGCGGCGTCGACAAAGGTATACACGATATCAGCCGAACACAGTATCTGTCGAATGTTTAAACGTTCCCCAGGCGTGTTATGATCGTTGTAATTTTTCTGTCGAACACGAATTTTGATAAGACGATCGCGGTTAGGTACGGTTGGATGAAAAAAAATATAGAATGTAGAAAATCTGCCTTGTTGAAAATTTAATTCCTATCTGGAAGACCGTATCTTGAAGAAGTTACAACTACTAACTTCTGTTTTTAAAAGAGGTCTTGACGAGGTCTTGAGTAGTGGCATCTGTCTGGGGAAGTAACCTTCTCCCTGCGGTAGACTGTAAAATTGCAATCTATCTAGACACCATCTAGTGTTTTTTTTCATTTCAGGTCCTATTTCTGGGCTTCTCACCAACAAATTTAATAAATATACTATGCTCACGGGGTATGAGGTCAGGGTAGGCATCGTGCCACTGATACTTTTGTATCCTGACTCCATATCCTTGTTTTATATGGTGTGAGTTGTAAACATCCTTATGAAAAATAAAAATTAAGTCCAATTTAAAGTCTTTTAAGTAATCTCCTTTACCTAAATGTTATAAATATGTTGGAGCTTACTATCAGACGGAACATAAGATTGTTTGCTTTTTTAAATAAAAAAATCTTGAGTTGACTAATAGTTTACACGTTTACGTGTCTTATATTATTATTATATATAATTAAAAATATATTTAGCATAAACAATGAGGAAACTTTTAGAAGTTATTCTTTGCCTTCATAGATTAACCTGTTTACATAAAATCTATTTTTCACTATCTAGTTTCGAAATCTTCTAGCATTATTTTCTGCTGACCGTACCGCGCCCTCGTCTTAATCATAAATCCGATTTGGACATGTGTACTCTTGTATGTAAACATTGGTTGCGAGATAACGTTTTGTGGACGCACTGTTTGAAATGTATGGATTGTCGCCGTCTGACACATTCGATTCCCCGATCTGAGAGCTAAATCAGAATGGTAAGGTCTATTTAAAATCAAATATTTTTTATTCTAATTTGAAGGTTTTCTAAATCGGCCAAATTGTTTCGTAATTCATTTGCTGAAGTTCCACATAGCCTAAAATCTTGATAGTTTGTATATTCCCATTGTTTCTAATTTCTGTGATGTAAAAAATGCTTCTTGTATATACAATAATCAAACAATTGAAATGAAATACGAATAAGCAACAATTTCTATTTAAAAATCTGTTTGTTGTCTTTAATATCGACTTTTTGTGTGGGTAAAAACTTACTTGTAATATTCATGTCAAGCAGAGAAACTAGCAAAACATTATAAATTTGATTACATAACAACATTGATACAATGTTAACGATACAAGACCGTTGGTTGAACGGACAAACAAAAAAACCCAAGACAAGCAACCCTATAGGGCATCAAACAAAGACCGGCGCAACAATGTATAAGCTATAGGCGATTACCACACTGCACTGCCCTACGCTGCGAGGTGCGTGGCGATAGAACCACGCAAGTGGTCGCGAGAGTACAGATCTGCATCATCATATTTCGCACTACAAACGTGTATTTCTCTGAATGCAAGCGTGTGATCTGCAAGACTGCGCATGAATGAGTTTTCTATGTGTTGCGTGTTTCAATGCAGAAACATACTTGCAAGCAACGTAATAACATGCAGTTCGGCGCTGCGCTGCGTGATGCGGTGCAGTGTGCGAATCGCCTTAGCCAAAAACCACGATCAATCAAAGGGTAGCACAGCAAGCACGCCAAGTAGTCGCAACACCAATATTTGCCGAGTGTCCAGTCACGGCATTCCTGTTTACACTATTATTCACAACACTGTTTGCCAAAGCCTGACCGAGTCACTTGCGTGCCCCCATGCAACAATAAAATACAATTCTAAATTGTTTTCCGTCAACGGAATAGCAAACAATGCCTTTTAAAATGACACGGATAATGCAATTTGTCCGTTTCGAAACGAAGTGGTATTATTAATTATTCGTTGAAAAGAAATTACTTGTGCAAAATTTACCATATTATAGGAAATAAATAATGAATTTGTTCAATACAAAAGAAATTAAAGTTTTTTACTTTATTTTATTAGTTTTTTATTGCAGACGGACTTTGAAAATTCATTTTATTATTGATTAACTTTATTATTATATTTTTATTATTCCAGGAAATTGGAATATGCAGATGCAGTACTTAGTTGCTTTTGTGTGGTATTGTTGATTGTTGTGTGCAATTGTGTGATATTCATGGGTTCGCACTAGGTTAGGTTAGGTTAGGTTAGGTTAGGTTAGTTAGAGTTTTCAGCGAGCGGGTGGTATGCGTCAGGCATTTCCCCTACGAAAAAAAAGGTTAGTCAGAGTTTGACCATCATGCCGCGAAGTGCTAGAAAAAATTGTCATCACCATTAAGACTGAGCAACGTCATCGTCATTATATTGTTTTAAATTTTCATGGTCACCAACATTATAGTAATTTACGTTATTTACGGGACTTAATTAGACAATGATGATGACTTTATGTTATTTAAGGGATTGTTACCATGTACCTTCTTTTTAGCGAGTATCGAATATTTCGGCACTATAACAGCAAACGTAAGTAACTTACAGTTACTGCGTGATCATAGCGCTTGCAAGTGCCGAAATATCAGAAACTCACTAAAAACAAGTTACATGGTAACAATCCCTTAAATAACATAAAGTCATCATCATTGTCTAATTATCCGTGTTTTCGAAAAATACCTAGAGTTTTTGCGCAAATTCAATTTATCAAATCATCCTACGATAGATATAATATAACGCCATAATTTTTTTTATTATTGTAAATCATACTGTCCTACTATCTAATTTATAAAATTCTCGTGTCGCGGTTTTTGTGGTTAAATTCCTCCGAAACGGCTTTCCCGATTCTCATGAAATTTTGTGTGCATATTGGGTAGGTCTGAGAATCGGACAACATCTATTTTTCATCCCCCTAAATGTTAAGGGTAATCCACCCCTAATTTTTTTTTAATTTTAGATAATTTCTATCACCTAAAATACAAAAATATTCACCTAAAATACAAAAATAAAAATCTACCACCAACCCCTATTTTTTTATGGCGGTACGAAGTTTGCTGGGTCAGTTAGTAACCTATAATATCTAAGTGAAAGTTTGAATGTTT